TTCAGAATTCATTATCGCTAAACTGTTTCGTTAATGTTTTTTTGGGGGGTTGGTCATTTTGTGATCAATATTCCGGGTCTATTTATTATGTTTGTACCTTGATTTCTTTTGTACACTATTTACATTGCCCGGACTATCGTACTCATCTTTGTTGACATATTTATCACAACGTCAACGTTTCGGCCGTTGTACGCTACGACCTTCTTCAGGTGGTTGGAATGTCGAACTGAACCCTTTATTTCGCTCGCTGAGGTAGACTGTTCTTGTTGCACGTGCCATGTCTAATGGATGTCAGTTATCTGGTATCTCAGTTAGACATGGCACGTGGAACTAGAACAGTCTACCTCAGCCATCGAAATAAAGGGTGCAGTTCGACATTCCAACCAACTGAAGAACGCCGTAACGTTCAACGGCCGAAACGTGATAAATATGGCAACAAAGATAAAGATGATAGCCCGGGCAATGTAAATAGTGTACATAATACCTGATCTCAGAAATATAGACAGATATTGAAGGGCCAAAATATTGTAATAAATATGGCGACAAAGATGAGGACAATAGTTCGAATAATGTAAATAGTGTACATAATACCTGATCTCAGAAATATAGACAGATACTGAAGGACCGAAACGTTGTGATAAATATGGCAACAAAGATGAGGACAATAATGTTCGAATAATGTAAATAGTGTACATCTCAGAAATATAGACAGATATTGATTTTTTTGGTAGTTTATATATATATATATATATATATATATATATATATATATATATATATATATATATATTAAGACGAATCGAGTTCTCTCAATCACAAGCGTGTTTATCTAAAAATAAATACGTGTAAATTCACCTTCACCCCTGCCGTCTGTCAATGGCTTATACTCTCTGACTGATACCAAATCAGTCGGGTTTCGATCGGATGTCTAGCCATAATGATGAGCTGTGAAACAGCGAAAGAGTCTGTATATATATATATATATATATATAAACGGCGATACTCGTTTGAAAAAACCTCGGATAGCTCAACTTGCAGTAGAACAAATCGGTACCCGAGGATAAATGGGGAATAAAAAAAGAAAGAACCAAGAACATTAAAAGAAGGCGAAAACAATCGTCCAGTGTTTAAGCTAAAAACAAAACAAAAACAAAAAACAAAACGTGTAAAAAGACAACTACATAAAGTGCTCAATGCACCTAGTAGAGCAACAATCTTTTTTTTTTGTCAAGTGGTAATGGTTGTTTTTGGTTTTATCAATAAATACTGTTCCGTAATTTTCCTTTTTAGCCGGCTTCCCTGAGGATCCGTTTAGGGGAAACCTAGGTTAGTTTGTCTGCCTCCTTAGGATTATTTTAGGTTTATATATATATATATATATATATATATATATATATAATCATTTCACCCCCCAAAAAGGCGGAAATGCCACTAGTACGCAGTGAGTTATAGGGAGTGAAAGTGAAAGTGAAAGTGAAAGAAAAGACTAAGAATAGGGAGGATTGAAGAAAGGACCAAAGATGAACGGTATTGAAGAAAATAGAAGATGGCGGTTTACATTGCATTTAAATTTCTGAAGATTGTAGTTATCAGGGAAGCAAGTAAACGGAAGGGAGTTGCACAGGCGGGAAGTGCGAGTTTTGGTTGCATTCAGCCATTTCAGCAGTAAACAGGAGGAACCTAGATACCAATCTAGTAGAACGCTTAAATTCATGTAGTCGGGACACCAGGGGAAAAAGCTTGTCAGAGCAGTTTCATGAAAATATTTGTATGAAAGACAAAGGGACGCCGCGTTACTTCGACATGTTCATCATTAATTAATCATAGTTAAGGTTATGAAGCTTATGAAGGATTGAAATAAGGTTTAAATATATGTATTTTATTCCAGGATCATTTTCCAACTTATTCAAGATGATCTTCGCCCTCTCTAACTTTCTAACTTTCTCTCCTGGGGTAACAAGTTGCCTCACAGATTTCACATACGATTTCATTTTCAAGGCGTTTTTCACTCCTCTTTAGACTGTCATAGTTGAAACTCCTCTTTTTCGAGCCAAACGTCTTATGAATTAAGTTGGATTTATTCTAATTGATCTCTATAGCTCTAAGTTGAAATGATGATCGCTCTTTCTGCTGTGAGCTCTACTGTTCTCTCTTTTTAAAACTTATTCACCGTTCTCTTGATGATTCTTGAATCGACTTTGAAGATAGAAGCCAGAGTATGAATGTTGGTACCATTGCTGAAGGTACGAATGATCTTTATCCCTCTCATCATTGCTCATTTTAGAAGACAGTGGGGCTGAAACAAAACCATATTAACCTGTTTTCTTACTAGATAAATAACTCAAAGGAGAGTGAAGGAGCTACCTGCACCCACTGATGGGTAGCAGGCACAGATGAGACACCAAGGAGTGTGAAGGAGCTGCCCGCGCCCACTAATGTATAAAAGCAAAATTGTCCACTTGTTAGATTAAACTTTGAACCGTTGTATCTTAGAAATGATTAAATATATCTTACTGGAATTTTCCAAAGATTTTATAACACTATTGGACATTGAGCAATAAGAATGTGTAATTACATTCCAAGTTTAGCAGAACAATTATGGTGAAATCGATCATAAATAAAAATGACATGTTCTTCATTAATTAATCGTAGCTAAGGATCGAAAACTCATGAAGGATTGAAATGAAGTTCAAATATATATATATATATATATATATATATATATATATATATATATATATTATTCTAAGCTCATTTTAAAACTTATTAAAGATGATATTCGCCTTCTCTAATCGTCTAACATTCTGTCCTGGTGCCTCACAGTTGTAATGATGATCCCTCTTTCTGTTGTGAGCTCTACTGTTCTCTCTTTTTGAGACTTATTCACCATTCTCTTGATGATTCTTGAATAGACTTTGAAGATAGAAGCCAGAGTATGAATGTTGGTACCATTACTGAAGGCCTGAATGAACTTTGTTTATTTATAAGTCTACTATTCGTACATGTCTAGAATATTGCTGCCACATATGGTTTCGGTGCTCCTGCTATATAGCTAGATATTTTTAATAAAATACAAAGTAGAATCAGTAATATTATTGGTCCTGACCTGGCAACTCGGCTTCAGTCTCATTCTCATCGTTGTAATGTAGTTTCCCTGTACCTTTCTTATACATACATGCATGGTAATTGTTTTTCACGAGCTGTCCGCTATTGTGTCAAGTCTTGATGCATTTAAGAGCAAATTGGCGTCAAGCTCTCATCATTTTACAGTTGAAATGGCGAGATGTAGCCGTAAGTTCTATGCTGACAGTTTCTTCTCTAGCACTGCTCATTTGTGGAACTCTCTTCTGGCTTCTTGCTTCAAAGTCAACTTTGATCTTCTGCTCGACTGGTGTCAAGCTCTCACCATTTTATAGTTGAGATGTCTAGATTTAACCATAAGTTCTATGCTAAATGTTTATTCCCGCATTTCTTGCTTGCGGAACTCTGTTAATGCTTACCAATTAACTTTGCTCTTTAGAGATTTAAATACTATGTAAATCGTTACCTTCTGTCTTCTTAATCCCTTTTCTTTTATTGTTCTCTCCACTTAATAGTGTTTTCTTTTTCTAATATTCTCTCACATTCTGGAAGCCCTTGAATTTTATTGGGTAAAATGATTAAAAAAAACTCTAGACAACATGGAGTCAGTAAATAGTACATTTGAAGAAAAATCCAAATCGTGTTAAAGAAGACGGAAAACGAAGTAAGGTTGTCACTAAAATAAGAACAGGAGAAATGAAGTCATGGCAACAGTGAAGCAACGGGTACTTTAAAAACATGGAACTCAGTGAAATGTAGCGGAACAGATTTTAAGAGGTTGCGATATCGCGCGTGGCATCATGGGATTTTAATGTCGCCTGGAGGATTGCCAAAGGATTTGACTGCTGCAAATATGGTAGAATAAATAGATTGTTCTTGATAAGCGTGGAACAAACACGGAGGGGTGGGCAATAGATGAAGAGAGAAAGCAAGAAAGAGATGCCGTGAAAGAAAGAGATGGAAAGAGAAAGGATGTAGAAAACGATCGTGGGGAAAAAAAAGAAAGGCAAAAAGAGAGGGAAAAATCGAAAGAGAGATAAGAAAAAGTTTTAGAGAGAAAGATAGAGAAAAAAAATAGGAAACAAAAGAGAGAGAAAGATTAAAAGTCAGATAAAGAGGGCGAGAGAGCCATATGACAACTTCGGGTTAGAAGAAGAAGAAGAAAGGAAGCAATAAATATAGTAGAACTGATTGAAGAGAGAGAGAGAGAGAGAGAGAGAGAGAGAGAGAAAGGGTGAGAAAAAGGTATCAAAAGAAAGAAAGAATGGAAGATAGAAAGAAAGAAATAATAAAAGAAATGAAGAAAGAAAAATGCAAAGAAAGCGTGAGAGAGAGAGAGAGAGAGAGAGAGAGACATACACAGAGACAGAGAACAGTGCTGAAAATGAGCGATAAAAAAGAAAGAGAGAAATGAGGAAGAGAAAAAGAGAGAAAGAAAAAAGCGATAAAGAGAAATACAAGCTGTGAGAAAAAAAGATGAAGAGAGAAAGAGAAGGAATAAGAAAACACAAAGAAAGAAAGAAAGAAAGACAGAGAGAGAGTGAGAAGGAGGTAGAGAAATACAAGTTGTGAGATAAAAGAGGAAGAGAGAGCGAGAGAGAGAGGAAGAAAAATTGGGACAACATGCAGCTGCCTCTTCGCATTCTCTTGCATTTCTTCGACGCTGTGAAGTCTTCTTTCTTTCAAGTGATTTTTGAAGAGGAAGTCTCAAGAGGCAAGATCCGGGAAATATGATTGCCAGGCATAGAGAATTTTGTGCTTGGCCAAAAACTGGTGCTTCTTGGTTAAGACAATAAACTACATCCGAAAGCAGGTAAAATTGTTGCTTATTTCTTCTGTATTTAGAGATAACATCAATTAAAAGTTTTTGCTTTTAATTCAGTTTGTTTTACGGTATATCAACCTCAATAGGTTATTTAATGCCGACAGTTTTTATTGCTGGTAATATCTATCTATCTATCTATCTATCTATCTATCTATCTATCTATTGGTTTGATTTGTTTTCTTTTACGACATATCAACCTCAATGGCTTATTTATAATGCTGACAAGATTTTTATTGCTGGTAATATTTTAGTTTTTCTGATAATATTGTTACTCGAAAATGTATTCCTGGTAATATTTTTTACAAAAATGTATTGCTGGTATTAAAACTTATAGTGTTGACCTCAGTTTTGGCGTTAAATATTGGCCCATAGCTGGGACCCTAACAGGTGCTACCACCCCGGGTCAGAGTAGACCTGGAAACACCAGCAATCAAGAGGTGGTTCTAAGCTTATCAAAACCTCCTGATGTTGGATTTAGTTTATCTTCTTACCCAGGATGCATCAGTTTTTGGCCAAGCACAAAATTCTCTATGTCTGGTAAGCACCAGATTTCGCAGATGTTGCCTCTTGTGACCTCCTCTTCAAAAATCAAATCCCATTTGAAAGAAAGAAGATTTGAGAGCGTCGAGGAAATCCAAGATAACGCGAAGAGGCAGCTGAATGTTATATGTATGATAGATCCTTTTATATACACGTTGTTTTGATAGGTGTCAATACATTACAAGGAGATCTTTTTAATTGAAGCTGATTTCAACTAATCGTAGTGGGAGAACGAATGCTTTTTTGTTTATGCAATAAAATCCGTTCGTATTTAAAAAAAATTAAAAAAAACTTCCAGTCTCCGACTGGATGGGCAAGCATTTAAATGCGATCTGACACGGAGGGAGGATAATTCAGTTCCGTTATGCATAGGATCAACTCCCATCACAATGATCCACACACGCACACTGCCACAGATTGTTAAACTCAGAAAGGAAGCCGGCAGAATTCGGCCGTGAAATGTGAAAGTTTTTTTTTAATGGTAGCAGGAATCAGAACAACATCTGCAAGTCTGTTTTCTTTCTTGACAGATGCAGAAAATATAGCCAGTTGATTCAAGGAACACATACACACACAGACACACCACACATATGTCCTGAGTATGACGATAAACTACATCTGGTAGCAAGGTTTTGAGGAGTGTAGCAGCGCGCCTTAATTGAAGTTGTTCCTAGGTATACCCCAATCCGGGGTGGTAGCACTTGTTAGGCTCCCATCTGTGTGCAAATTTTGAACCCCCAGAATATGCTCAAAATACTATCAGTGTATAAAAATACATTTTTATAGTAAAAATACATTTTTATAGTAAAAATACCAGCAATACTTTTGCGAATTAATGAATAAGTATAACTCAAGACTTCAATGTTTTAAATAAAACAGTATTTAATTACAACCGCAAAAAATACTTAGCAAAAAAGCAAAAGTCAACAAAAGATATTTAACCAGCGATTAGAACGTCCGCATTCTGACCATGAGACCCGGGTTCGAATTTCACCATGGTCGATTTATCAGGAAGGAGACTTCCTGGTGTTATCGGACTGGAGAGGGCACGACCCCAGCGTGCTGCACTTGGAAAGTTCCTGAAAACTATACCTCGGGTTGACCCAAGCCTTGTCAGTGAAATTGGGTAGATGAAATTGAGGGTAGTCGATAGGTGTACTCGCATGAAGTCACATAAATGATCAATTATCGTGGCTAATGGTTTGAGCGTGCTGGCCTTATTCAAACTGTAACTAAAGTCTGCTCATCATGGGTGTTGAACAAGTACAAATGCACCTGAGCAAGCGTCTGCAATAGGACATCCTCCAATACGAGTAGCCATCTATACACGTATGTGGGTTTTGTGAGTTTGTTTATGAGTCATTTAATGCCAAAATTTAATTTTCCTGGCAGCATTAGTAATATAAAAAATATTGCTAGTAATTGAAGTCTTGAGTTATACTTATTCATTACATCACAAACTAGCCACAAATTTACACGAATAACCAACGTGTGTAGTCGTGAGTTAACTGAGAAGTGTTCCGTTTAACAATGGCCGGATATTCATATCGTGAGAAGGCAGATATTATTTTTAAATAGATTATATATATATATATAATATATATAATATAGATCGAGTTTTTTAACAATGTAAATTAAAAGTTTATGCAAATTATTAACATCGTTCCTTAACTTTTGTCCAGTAGCTTATTTCCTTTGTTCCATTTAATCTTTATTTAAAAAAAACTATTATGTAAATTTTTTGTAACTTTTGTATAATATTTATGCATTACAATTCTAATGTTTATTCGGTAAAAAATTTCATTGCTAATCATGCATTAATTTTTTAAGTAATACACATATTTATGTCTTTTGTTGTTTCCGTTACTTATATTATGGCCTCAACTGTATACATATATATATATATCTATGTCTATATATATATGTTATTAACTTAATTAATAATTAATTATGAAATTTATACTGTTTAATTAAAAAATAACTATATATTTAAATAAATTATATAGATATATATATTTATTATATTTATATTTTTATTTAATTATTTATTTAATTATTTATATAATTTTCATTTATTTATAATTTATATTTATTATATTCATATTTTATATTTTTACCAGCAGTATATTTTTATTTCAAAAATTACTAACAATAAATATTTATTTGCATTTTTTACATTACTCAGACTGATATCTTCATCTTCATTGCCATATTCACAACGTTTCGGCCGTTGTATACTTCGGCCTTAATCCAGTGATAGGAATTTCGAACCGAACCCTTTATTTCGTCCATCGGGGTAGACGGTTCTAGTTCCATGTGCCATGCCTCTTCCAGATGTCCAGTTATTTCCCTTTACCTCAAAACACCATGTTTTGGTTCACCATTGCTGTGGCCTGGTATTGAACTCAGAACTCTTTGGGTCTAGTCACTGGATCTAACCAACGTCTTTATCCACATGTACCTAGATCTAGTGACTAGACCCAAAAAGTTCTGAGTTCAATCTACCCCGGTGAACGAAATAAAGAGTTCGGTTCGAAAAATCACCTAAAGAAGTCCGGAGCGTACAACGACCGAAACGTTGTGAATACGACAATGAAGATGAGGATAACAGTCCGAATAATGTAAATAATACAAGTAATCATAATACCTCATCTCAGAGATATAGAGGCCGAAACGTTGTGAATACTGCAATGAAGATGATGATAGCAGTCCGAATAATGTAAATAATGCAAATAATCATAATACCTCATCTCAGAGATATAGAAAAATATATATTTATAGTAAAATTGTCAAAAAACGAAAACAAACAGAAGAAAAAGTGCCTTGATTAATCTGATTTCTTGGATGGGGGACATGTTTTCACTCCTGGTTTGATTTTATAAGAATACATGTTCAAAAGTAAATACAGCTATGTCATTATAATTTAACGCCGAAATAAACTAATTCTCTTGAATTGATTATAAAGTTTGAATTTCCATATTCAAGATAGTAAAAATACAATTTACGAATTGTGTGATACATATTGTTATCGAATGGATCGCTTAATCACATCTTAAAAGACACCCATGAAACGAAATCATTAAGAACAAAGTCTTTGAAAATAGCTAAAGAGTGTGGTTGAAAATGCTTGAGACAATAGACACCAGCGTCAATATTTATTTTCCCTTACCGCCATGAAACGGAGAAAATTAGGAATATCAGAAAAACTCATCAAATTTTCCCTATCTGTTATATTCAATGAAACATATTTAAAAGAAAGTTTGCTGCCCAAATATACATTATGTATTGATTTATATACAGATATAGACTGACTCATTATAACTGACTACAATAGCAAAGTGGCATTTCCTACGGGTTTTATTATTTCCTTGATGCACTTTTAAGATCAAAATGGCGATGGTTCTGTTGGCGAGTTGTCGTTCACTTAGCATGAAACGTGAATTTTCTATTCATGTGTCTTGAGGACATTTTAAAACAATTCGGATTTAAAAAGTAATTCTATTTACTTTTATTTTGCTACGTTGACTTTACATTCAAATTTGTTTGCAGAAAAACCCGGCTTTTCCTTTTCACCATGAGTAGGTTATATGGAAATGCTTTACTCCCCCCACAAAATGCATACAAACAAGCACATATATACACACATATTTCTTTTATATGAAGCACATGCATACACAAACACACGTATATATATATATATATATATATATATATATATATATATATATATATATATATATATATATATAGTTTTAAGGTATGCTATATTTATTGGATAAAGTGCCAATAATAGAGATAGAGCGTATGTAAATATAAAAGTGAATATTGAAGTCAACACTCAGAGGCTAAAAGCTGATGGTGGCCTGATCATTTCTGTTTAGCATGAAACAGTCTGTCGCCTCTGAGTGTTGATTTAAATGTTCACTTATATATATATATATATATATATATATATATATATATAAGTATATGAATATGAAATGCATATATATATATATATATATATATATATATATATATATATATATGCATGTTTCATTAAAAAACGACAGACAAGGTATTTTGTTAAGTTTTTTATTTAATTTTTTTGTGTTCGAACAAGAGCGTTCTTTTCTGGACAAAGGGTGTGTAAGAACAAAGCCACAATGTACTAACCGTATTCGGAAATTAAAAACATCCCTATCACACACTACGGCATACATATAACGCACACACTGAATTAAGCTGAAAAATCGAATCATCCTTGATAATGGTTAAAGGTATAGCCGAAAGCGCTCGGAAATATAAAACGTTTGGACAGTTCTTACACACCGTTTGTCCAGAAAAGAAAGCTCTTGTTCGAACACAAGAAAATTAAATAAAAAGCATAACTGTAGTACCTTTGTCTGTCGTTTTTAATGAAACATGCATAAAGGAAGGATTGTTGTCTAAATATACAACTATATATATATATATATATATATATATATATATATATATATATATATATATATATATATAAAGAACAGACAGGTTAAGAATCCACAATTTTATCCTGTAATTTTTGTTTTTTTAAAAGGTGCTCAATACAACGTAGAACAAAATATTTCGGAAATATAAACTCCATTCTATGGGCAATGAAGGAA